TAGGCCTGGGGGTAGGGGTTATGTGGGTGAGGGTTTGGGCGAGGGCCAAGAAGACCCGGGTTGGTGTTTGGGTAGTTGAACTGTCCAGAGTTTTGCCCGAGGGTGTTTCGTGCATTTGACCCGAAGCTTCGGCCGCGACAACGACCACGATGTTGTCCGCCACGCTGTCGCTGCTGTCCGTAGCCAGTACCACCGCTGGAGTCTGTACGGCCGCCCTGTCGTCGAGTTCCACCACTTCCGGCGCCTCCACTTCCGGCATAGAGGACTGTCCCGCCGTCTCCCGCGCCACCACCGACCCCCAACTCAGCCCGTTGTTGTTCAATGAGAAGTAGGGCCGACCGAGTTTGAAGGAAGGTGGGCGGCGGCGTTTGGTATTGGAGAAATGAGGTTTGTGACCGAAGATCGTCCGGGAGGCCACGAAGAACTTGTAGAACCAGTTGTTGCTCGGAGACGGAGGCGTCTACATCGTCCAACCAATCCGCGAGATTGCGTAGGGTTTGGCAATACATGGTCATAGAGAGAGAACCCTTCGTTGTCGTTCGGAATTGGTGCTCAAGTTGCATAGCCCGAGCCGGTTTGTTGTCGTGAAACATATTGTAAATAGATTTCCAAAGCTCCGAGGCTGAATTTGTGGTGGAGAGTACGAGATCGCAAACTTCATCGTTCACCGTAGATAGGGTCCAACCTTGGATGAGTGCGTCAAGTTGGAAACACTCGGAGTCGTCGTCGCTTGAAGGAGAGGACTTTCCGGCGAGGAAATCTCCCAAAGAGAACCGCCGGATGAGAAGGAGGAAAAGCCGGCTCCATTTTTTGTAGTTTGGTTCAGAAAAACTGAGGAGGATCGGTACGTGAAGTTTCACGTTAGAGATGGCCGTGAACGCCAAGTGGGGGGGTGGAGGAAGATGATTGAGCCCCGGTGGCGGGTGTTTTCTCAGACATGGTGACTGCAAAGAAAGAGGAAGAAGCCGGCCTGGGGGAGAGAAGCGCTGAGAGGCTGCCTTGGGAGAGAGCACTGCCGTGTGAGGAGAGGCGGCCTGGAGTCGCCAGCGAAGGACTGCAGCGGCGAGAGGCTGCTGTACGGCGAAGGAGAGAGGAAAGGGCTGCTAGGGTTTGCAGCAACGTTCGTTGGAACGTGAGAAAAGCTCCGATACCATGAAAAATAATTAATTTCTGTGAATAACAACGGAGGACTAAGCCTCGTATAAATAGATACAATAGAGTCCTAACTACGGAAGGTAACTATACAAGGAAACCTACCATGTGTACAAGGATTACTACATTAATATTAAATATACACATACTATATTTAACAAACATGAAAGTCATTTTTTGATATATTTTCAAATTTACCGTCCATGCCCGATACACTGAAAGAGCTATTACAAAAATAGAACTGTCACATTGCCGTTGTCGAACTTCGATTTCAAGACAAAACCTATATTTTCTCCTTAGACCACTTAGCTATGATGCATGTCGAGTTTAGGATATCCAAAGATCAAATGTGAACTCTTGATTTTCTTTTGTAAGGCACGTCCTTCAAATTCCGGGTAATTTACAAATTCCCCCCAAAGTTGTCAGTATTCCGATCTTTCTCGTGACCGACCTTGGTTTTCACGGAGAATCCATTCCAGTCATTCTTTCAATCTGCAAGGGTTTGGCTATTTTCATTTTCAGTCTGCCATGAATTCCATTCTCTGATATCCAGTTCATCGAACATGTCTGTGATTCCAGAAGCCTTATTGACAGATCGAGCATCGTCGCCGGACGGTAGCGTCGCTACCGCCGGCAATCACCTAATTTCCCGATGGCCCAGCACTTCCGCTCCAGTGTGCCGTAGCTTCTTGCACGACGCAACCTTGGTCGTACCTTCGGTTATCTTCATGCTGTATCTAGGGTTTCATGCAAGGAGGAACATTAAGAAACTCAGGAACCGACTGTCTCATGTCATGATTGCATATTATGCGCTCTTGTGGTTTGCTGCTCTGGTAAACGTTGCCTGGGCAGCTCTGCAGGTACTAATCTTTATATTTTGAGTTCATGAATTTTTGTGCAATAGTTTACTCCTTATCAATTAATTCCCATTTTACTTTTTTACTCGTTAGAATCAGATTAAGACGGGAAACCCCCAAATTCTAGCTACTTTATTACAGCTTAAAGCATTCTAATGTTCTATGGAAAATAGTTTTTTCATTTGGAAATGTAGTATTTAGCTTTTCTTCAATTTCTTGTGTTTTGTTTAGTCCAAAATTTTGTTCAATTACTGAGATTCTAATAACTGGTAGCATGTAAGATTGGATTGTTAAATGGTTACTATTTACTAAAACTGATTTTGTTATACTAACATTATTTTTCAATTGATCATTTAAAACCATGAATGAAACAGGACTCAGGAGTGGTAATATAGTAGCTATTGTGTAGCTGAAAACATTGGTTTAGTTTCTTAGATTGTGAATTCATTTGATGATTTGAAACATTTGTTCTTGTTAGGTGCTTAGAGCATTTTAAAAATTCTTTCAATCCATGTAGAGATATATGTGACTATAGTTCTGCAGTTTTGTTTATGGGGTAATGATAGAACCTAGGGTACTTTGAAAAACAGTCTGAAATTCTTTTTGTCCTATTGATCTTATTAATTTGTTTGGTTAAATTGGTCAAGAATTTTCATGCTCTTATGTAAGCTTGTAATTGTTTACTACAGGCATGGCAATGTGCTCCTGGGAAGGTTGTTGCCTGGAATCTCTTGTCATTGTTTGCAGCTTCTGCAATGCTGTGTTTAGAGATTAGCCTAATGGCGTTCTTACTTCACGAGAATTATTCTACTGGATTGGAAACTTTAACACGCACTTTCTTTGTGTCTGGTCTTTTTGTTGGCGTGGACTTTCTACTGAAGGTAACATTTTTTCCATGCCCATACTCTAAAGTGTGAGACTATAGTAATTCTCCAACACCAAAGTTCAGTTGAGTGTAAAACACATCTGTTGAGTTTTACAATATAGGTTCTTTCTCTCCTTTTTATGCACTTAGGGCATGTATTTAGTGAGTGAGTCATTTCAAGGAGGGTGGTAAACTTAATGGATTGGGCTTTTAATTGGCCAGGACTGGTTGTATGTGTATGTATTTATTCTTCTATAGTGTATCCCATTTCTTTTCACAAACCAAGTTATACTCTTTATGTTATCCGAGTCAGATCCAGTTCCCCATTTACATCAATTTCAGCACATGATACATTTTTTCTGTTGTCCTTGTTGGGATTTTGTGTTCGAATTTTCCAACCATGGTTGGATCTTTGATATTTGTACAACTAATATTAGTATAACAGGATGCAATTTGTGGCCATAACCTTACTCTCCTTCAACAGGTAATTCTTATATTTGGATTTAGGATTCCACTCTTTGTTGATGTTGAATTAGCAAACCGAGGGAAGTGGGCCATCTGGTTTGCCTATAGGCTCCTGCTAACTGCAGCTTATGGGTACATTTTGTTTGTGCACTTCTCCAAGTGGAGAGATAATCTGCCCCGTGAGTGCCCTTATGTTTTCCTTTCACAGAATTGCTACTACTATTTGTTGATACAAATCAACCTTTCTGATATAAACAATTTGCAGCCAGACCGGCCTTCTACAAATATGTCATTGCGATGTTTGTGACAAATGTTGTGATATTATGTGCTTGTGCACTTGCTGGATTTGGGATTGGCTTTGGTCTCTGGTATCACATATTTCATTTCTAGAATTTTACATCCGAGCATATCTAACATTGCTTCTAGGTATCTATTATCTAACACGGCATGAATGGCTAACGGTGCAGGTTAAATGATTTGGGTGTTATTGGCTACCACTCACTGTATCTCCCCTTAATATATGCCGTGTTTTTAGCCGACTTCTTTCAGGTAGTTACAATGATCAATTTTTTTTCATCCCAATCAAAAATGACATTCTTATATGCACTTTGAGCTTCATCTGTCACTCGACTCACTTCTATATTAATCGTTGTTCTATTTGGGGGCAACAAACAATACAGGAAGAAGATTGGCTTTTGGAGGAGGCATACTATTCGGAGATGAAAGACGCGGGGTTCTTTGATGCAGATTGGGAATAGCATTTTACGCGTTGTGATAGCCTCATTGTCTATGTACTTTGTGAATATTTCCACTCATGTGAACTGCCCACAACCCCGTCCTGGAAACCCAGTGGGGGCGAAGATCTTCCTCTTCGGAGGTTGTGTGTCAACGGACCGTTCTTCTTTTAGAGATGCTAAGAATGTAGAAACTGTAAATTAAATGAACTTTCCTTGTTCCAATAAGGTCATGTAACCTTTCTCTCTTATTATGTGATCTTTTTGTTCCCTGACTTTCGGTGTATCTAAACATTCATAGACGTTCTCGCCTACATAAATTAATGTTGGGTCAAAATGGAGAAACAAAAAACTTACTTAAAAATATGTAGTTAAAACCTACTTTTTTTTCTGGTATATAAGTGAGCTTATAAGCATACATAAACATGTCATCAGTTGCTTATAAACAATTTTGATTGGATTATAAGCACAGAAAAACACCTACATAGTTTGTAATGTTATTCTGTTTAAGATGTACTTCATCCGTTTCAAATTAAATTGCATGTTTACTATTTACAAGGTCAAACTTTATTTATTTTACTTTTCTATTTTCGTTAGTCATTTGATAAAATTATATAATCATGTCATTATTAGTTTTGTAGATCTTTTAACGTAGTTTTTAAATATGTAATTTTTTTTAATTCTATACTAATTTTTATATAAAATAAAAATAACTTTAATCAAATATCGTAAATTGATTTATATATATCCTCCATCTTAAAAAGAATATCACGTCACTCAAAGTGAAGTAAAATTTTCAATATTTTCAGTTTTTTCTATCAAAAGATTGGTAAAAAAGTAAAAATAAAATTCGTGTATGTAAAATTTAAGTTCAAAGTTTTAAAAAATAATAAGGGAGAAAAATAATTGGTTATGGACTATCAAATAATAATGAAATCACAAAAATAAACATAAATTGCTGTGAGTTTTGAATAGTGAAATATAATGTTCTTTATTTTAACAAGGGAACCGGCGCCGGAATCAGTGGACACGAGTCCAATTCTGAGTGAAATAGTGGTTGTGTCGGAACTGCCAATTCCCGGTTCGGTTCTGATTTCGTATTTTTTAAATTTTTTTAGCTGACCAATTTATAAGTTCTTTAGAGGATTCGTTTACGGTTTTTACTTCTTCGCTTTTTTTGAACTGTTAGCCCGTCAGAATAATAAATGTAGTTGTACTATCCAACAACAACAATAGCCCAGTATAATCCCACAGAGGAAGGTTGTGGGGAGGGCGTGTGTACGCAGATCTTACCCCACAAAGATCTTCCAAGAGACTCCAAGCTCAAGTAGCACCAAAAATCAAGTAACACGACAAGAGGATAGAGTATGCAAAGGCATAAGATACCTAGGAAATTAGAAGAAGAAATACGTCAAGCCAACACAACACACAACAACATGAACAAAACTAGCACTCTAGACTAAACGACTACCCAACTACTCTAATTCTACATTAACATATCTAATGTCTTATCCTCGATAAGAGCCAAGTGTCCTAAGTCCTGTCTAACCTCATCCTTCCAATTCTTCTTAGGTCTACACCTACCCCAAAACCCTCCAACTATCGAAAACATCTGGCATCTCTGTATTGGGACCTTAAGTGCATGCCTTTTCACATCACCAAACCATCTCAAAATTGTACTATCCAATTTTCATTATTGAAATAACAAAATACTGTACATTTTCAAATTAAGTTTTTTACATATAATTATAAAATATTATAAAATGAAAAAAATTATATACTATCGGAAACCGGCCCAGAACTGGAATATGTGATGGTGCCGAAATCTGCCCGTGTCCAGGTCTAGATAATTTTTAAGTGTTAAATTGATAGCTAAAAATATAATTTAATTTACCATTTTTCTTTGGTGTGCAAAAAAAAGACTATGCAAAAATGGGGTTTTCAAATAATTTTCCTCCACCACAAAGAGCCGTTTGGCACAGTGACACATTAAACACTCACCCACCAGAAGGGGCCACCCAGCACCCTCCACCCGCCATCTTCCGTCCACATCACATCATCATCACCACCATCTCTCAGTACAGATTCGACTTTAAATTTCGAGTGATGCTAGAGTCACAAACAAACAGTTCACAAAATTCACAAACTTACCTTTTTAGCACTTTCCTAGAAATAAGATGCACTCAAATATTAAAAAATATTTTAATTTAAATTCCACAAAAAGCAAGTTTGTGAAGTTTGTGGACTTCAAGTTTGTGACTCTAGCATTTTCCTTAAATTTCTGTCCTTGCATTTATTTTTCTTTATTTTTTGTTGTTTTCCCTTTTGGATTATGCTGTGTGTACCCCAAGGTTTGTACCCCAATTTGTACCCCGCAGTTTTGTACCAACACTTTGTGTTGGTGTAAAACTAATTTTTGTTAAACGCACCAACATTTATGTTCGTGTGAACATTTATTAACGCACCAACACTTGTGTCGGTGTAAACCATCGAAATGTTTGTGCAACCCCATTTGTACACCACAGGTTTGCACAAACATTTCGATGGTTTACACCGACACAAGTGTTGGTGCGTTAATAAAAATTCACACGGACACAAATGCATTTAACAAAAATTAGTGTTACACCAACACAACTTGTCACCAACACAACCTCACAATCTGTTGGTGCAAAACTGCAGGGTACAAATTGGGGTATAGACATAGCATAATCCTTCCCTTTTTCCCAAACGCTGCTGCCCTTTCATTTTGCTCCTCACTCTCTCATACCCGCCTCATCTGTTAAGTGCCAAGGCTTAATCACATTATTGCATTATTGTGTCATTACTATCTTCTTCAATTCTCTAGCTCTGCTACCATGTCTTCTTCTTCTTCTTCTTCTTCTTCTTCTTCTTCTTCTTCTTTGTTGTCTACATTTCTCCTCTTGGCCATGGCTGCTCACTCAAGTAAGTTCCTTTTTTTTCATATAAATTTATTTCTCCTTTAAGTATCATATGCAAGAAGTTGATATAATATGAGTTTTGACATTAAGGGGAGTTTACTCAAATAAAACTAAAACATAATAACTTTCCCCTAAATAACATCACCTGTGTTATTATTCAAGAAAATATTCGTGGACATTATGAATATTATTAAGTGTTATTTAAGGAATAAAATAAGGTAAGTGCTATTTAGGGAAATGATTTAGGTTTTAGTGCAAAAAATTTTAAAAAAAGTACTCCCCCCCTCTCTCTCTCAAATCATTTGGTTTTGACTTTCAAAAAATTCGGGAGATATGAAAAAATCCCATTTAAAAAGGAAAGAGTTTGATATCTAAAAATATCAAATATGAAGCATATTTAGTGTGCTCACTAAAGGGCCTTAAATTTTTTTGTTGGGTTAATTTCTTATATGTACTGTGTATTTTCTAGAATTTGCAATTTCTATAGAATTATTGAAAATTTTCTGATATTTTAAAGAAGAAAAAGCAAAATTCAAATGGGACATTTTGAAATACGAGTAGTAAAATAAATGGAATGTTTAAATAAACTAATATAAAGTGATTGTCTTTTTGACATGTCATATGAACAAATATTAGCTTAATCTTTCCATTTCAAAAACTAGCTTATCCAAAATCTCGTTTCCAAGCAAGAACTCCACTTAGGTCCCGTTTGGCATTAGCGTCAGAGATTAGTGTTAGAGTTTTGAAAAAGCTATCCGACGGTAGCCTTTAGCGTTAGCGTTTTCAGAATTAATCTGCACTGTTAAAATTTTATCCAAAACGCTAACGATAATCGAAAACGCTGTTACCAAATAAAGCCTTAGTATATGTTGCGCTCTAGCTTTTCAGTTATAGCAATCTAACTAAGATTAAAACCTGACATTTATACCAAAATTTTTATGTTACAGAATCACCCAAAATAGAAACAAAAATTAGCACTTATCTCCAATACTGCACTGTGACAATGTGATACTGTATATTAATTTTTTACATTATTTTTTAGTGTCACATGTTGGCATTATTGAACCTATTTTGGAGATAAAAATATAAAGTTTCTATTTTGTTTCTTTTCCTATCTTTTGGACTTATTTTAGTCTTTTCTTTGTTTTTTATTCCCTAAATAGGAACGTAGGCCCGCCTGTATTCTGGCATTGTGTGTGTAGTATTTTGTAATGTTTTTTGACATTATATATTGTAATTATTTGGCATTATAAATTCTATTTTGGCATAGAAAGATTTAGTGTTTTATTTTTGGGATATTGAGTATTGACCCGTTTGGCATCAACGTTAGAGATTAGCATTAGCGTTTTGAAAAAACTATTCAATGGTAGCCTTTAGCGTTACCGTTTTCAGGATTAATCTACACTATTAAAATGTTATCCAAAACACTAACGCTAATCGAAAATGATTATACCAAATCCTAGTTAGAGATTTCTTACCTTAACCTTTTCACAAATGTTTGGGTGTGATTTTTGGGTAGGTGCAACGTGGTGTGTGTGCAAGGAAGGGGTGAGTGAGAGTATGCTACAAAAGACACTGGACTATGCATGTGGGTACGGAGCGGACTGCGGCCCAACCCACCAGAATGGGCCATGTTTCCAGCCCAACACTGTCAAAGCCCATTGCAGTTATGCCGTCAATAGCTTTTTCCAGAAGAAGGGCCAAGCCCCTGGCACCTGTGACTTCTCGGGCACTGCTACTGTAACCACTACTGACCCCAGTAAGGGCCCATTCTATTCAATTTGCTTATTTTTATTAAAGTCAGATCAGATTCATTCTCTTCAGGGGTAAAAGGGTAGGGAGTAATTTGAGATTGGGCATTCACACTCATTTTATGAACCTTAACTCGAGTACAGAATCACTATTTTGTAGAAATGGAAAAAAATCACTTGTACACCCGTGAAAAGTGTGAAAAGATATACATTTCACGTGTGATTTTATTTTTTTGCACCGTAACTCACAACTTTCATTACCAACATCAAATAAGGTTATACTCCCTCCGTCCTAAATTATTTGTCACATTTGTATTTCTGAGGCAAAGTATCAAGTTTTTTCAATTAATTTTATTTACATGTTGGTATAGAAATAAAAAAAATAAAATTTACATATAAAAAGACTACATCAAGAATATTTTATTTTATCAAATAAGCAATGAAAATGTCGAAATAAACAAAAGTTTCCGCGACTGCTGAAAAAGCAAATATTGTGAATATTTAGAGACGGAGGGAGTACAAACTTATACAAACCTCAAACTACCCTTTTAACTATTACATCACTTTCTTATACTCCCTCCGTTCCGAAAAACTTGAGTTTTGAAGGGGGGTTTAAGGAGAATGTATTTTGGTATTGAATTTTCAAAAATGTCCTTTGATGTGATGGGTAAAAGTATGATTTGATGGATAGATTATTAGTAAAAAGGTATGATGTGATAGGTAGGGCATGAAAAAGTAAGGGGTAAAAGTGACTTTTTAATAGAAATGAGAAGTGTTTTTTGGTACGGATAAAAAAAGAAAGGAGAAAGGTTTCCTGGGACGGAGGGAGTATATGAAAAAAATTATGAATGTAGAGGAACACAAATGCACTAGCTTACTCTTCTGTGCATCTTTTTTGTTTAATGTGCAAGCCTGATTCTTGCTCTCCAAATGCTGTACACAGAGACTGCCCAAATAGCAATAATCTTCATCCTATCCTTTGCATTTTCCCTCGGGTTCCCTGTACCTAATCTCTCTTTAGTTTGTAGTCTCCATCTCATAAGAAGCCATGTCATGAACTGGAATTTGGGAGGGGTGAGTCTGTTCCAAACCCACTCCTTCCATTTTGGTTTAGCACCCACCCATTGAAGTCACTCATATCCTTCTTTAACTCAAAATCTCTTGTTTGTGGGCATAGTTCTAAACCACACCTTCCTCATTTTGATCATTTCCGCCCAGTAGTGATAATAAGAGTCGTCCACTCTTGGGATATAGCTCCAAAAAACGCAGTATATGTTGCACGACCGGTTGTACGGTGTTTCCTGTACATCCGAGGCGGGTACTCATTTTCGAGCAACTGGATGCTTATTCTTGAGTAATTAGAAGCTCATTTTCCTAAAATTCAGTTATGCTCGAAGATGAGTATTTAGTTACTCGATAATGAGCACGAGTATTCATGCATATGTGTATGGGAAACACTGTATATTATCCGGTTTATATGGTATAAGTACTCCTCCAAGAACACATCTGAATCTCAAGACCACAAAAACACAATTCTGAAAAAGAAACAAAAGACTCATGTTTTTTTTGTGTGGTTTCCATCCAGGTTCAAGTGGCTGTGCATATCCGACTAGTGCAAGGTATGCCTTTCTATCTCATGCTAAAAAATATTCTTTCCGTCCTAAAATAATTTACTTAAAAAAATAGAATGGGAGTAGATGTGGAATTTTAATGTTTAACTGTGACAAATTATATACTTCGTATATAATAGAGTTTATTGTATTTTTATTAATGCTATTAATTTAGAGGACATATGAAATAATACCAGTTATATATTATACCTGTTGGTTTGTGAAATTATTAAGATATTTACAGTATTACTATTTGTATCTAAATATTTACAACATTTGCTTTTTCAGCAGTGTCGGGAGTTTTTGTTTATTTTGACGTTTTCATTGATTATTTGATAAAATAAAATATTCTTGGCACCTCTTATTTCGAAAAACTTTTCATGTAGTTTTTTTATATGTAAATTTTATTTTTTATTTCTTTATCGATATGTAAATAAAATGAATTGAAAAAACTTTATCGATATTTTACCTCGGGAATATAAATGTGGCAAATAATTTGGGACGGAGGGAATAAAAAATAATCCGTAAGAGGTTTTATTTTAGTATGGAGTATGAATTTTGTGTTTTAGCATATTATGTGTCGAGTGGTGGGCCTGGCATAAAAGAAACATGCAACACAATGGGCCGAATCAATTAGTCTAGAGCAAGAAAACTTTTTCCTTGCCGGTTCGGGCCCACCAAGGCCGGCCCTATGTCCAGCTGTTATCAACTTCTATACTTGAGAGTGGTTTAAAATTGTTTAATATTGTACCCTTGAGAGTAAAATTTGTGACCTGACAACTTACAGTTAAAACGTAACAGAGTACGGAGTATTTAGTTATCAAATTTATAACTTTATCAATTTACTACTCTCTCTGTCTCAAAAAGTCTTTCCTCTTTCATTTTTTGAGCATTGCATAAAATACTTCTAACGACAGCTAAAATGCCTAAAATTTACAATATTTTTTCTTTATTTTGGGTAGAAGTTATTTTGAAAGTTTTTTTTGGCATTCAAGTCGTGATAGAAGTGTTTTATGAGATGCGCAAAAAATGAAACAGGAAAGACTTTTTGAGATGGAGAGAGTAGTATATTTTTACAAGTACAATACTTTATTATTTGCTCTCTCCGTCCTATAATGATCTTTCCCGTTCCCAAAACAAAGAAAAATCCTAAGTTTTTAAAATTTATTTTATTTAAATATTCGTATAGAAATAAAAAACAAAACATACATATTTAAAAACTACACTAAAAGTTCAACAAAATAAGTGATGACAAGAATATTTTATTTTATCATAAAAGCCATGAAAAAATACAAATAAATATAAATTCTCGTGAAGTTTGAATAGTGCTCTGGGAAGTCATTATAGGACGGAGGGAGTATTTATTTTTAAAAAAATTATTTATACTTCAAAAAATTACTTGATCACTTTAAGTTTGGATTAATAACGATAAACTTTTCTTTTACTCACTACTTGGAATTCAAAAAAATAAAAGTAATAGTTAGGGACCATGTTTCGAGGATTTGAAGAACAGGGACAAAACAGAGATAAGGGTTCTCAGTTAAGGGGCATGGTTCATGTGACATTAAGGTTCGATGTCAAAGCATGACTCGAGACTCTTACGGTATTTCGTTCGGAAAATTGACACTTCTTACCCATAAGTCTAGTTTCTCACCCCAGTTCCCTCTTTTCACCGCTTGCTGATTGGCTACGGTGATCACTGTAGTTTGTAGCCAATCGGTGAAGAGATAAGAGCAGAGACTTTAAGAGAATAGGAACCATTAATTTTTCGAATGGAGATAAGAGCTTGGGATGATGCTATGATATTAAATCTCAATGTCATATCTCACATGAAGTGTATCATTTTAATTATCTAGAAAAAATTGATATAGATTTCATTTATGTATCCATTTGAGTAAGTTGAATTTCGAAAATATTTGTTAACCTATAGAATCAGGACCGGCCTGAGTGTGGGCCTAGCAGGCCTATCGGATTGGGCCAATAATTTAGAGGACCCAATTTTTTTAAATATTGTACATATATTAAAAATTAAGAGACCCAATATTCTAAGGCATAAAATGAGAATCGAACATGGGTATTTTAAGATGTGTAGACATGTTTCATCCACTTAAGCTTTAATAGAAAATACTACGGATTACTACGTAGTAAACAACCATACATACAAAAATTCCAAAGACAGTCGCCAAGTGACCCTGTAAATTAGGAAGGATGAAAAATTGAATATACACTTCATATAAATGATCCAGATTAGACTATGAATCTGTAAAAAAAAATAAGTTACTACGTTCGTTTATGAATATTTGTCTATTTTTGACTTTTTTGGTCAAAATTGATAAACTTTGATCTCAAATTAAATAAAAATAATATTAAATATTGATACAAAAATAGTTTTATTAGACTAATTGTATGAAATATTACATTTATTAGACACCTTTGTAACAACATATATTTATGTATCAATTTTTGTAGTTGAGTTCGGAAATATTTCTAAACGTACCGAATAGAATATATACAAACTCACATTTGCATTCACTTTACTTTTGAAGACTATTGAAACTTCGTTTTACAAAATTCTTTTGTCCTAATTTTTTGTAAATTCCATAAAACACTTTCATCATACCCTAAAACGTCTAAAATACACCCCTCTTTACGTAGTCTATTGTAGGTAGAAGTTGTTTAGAAACCATTTTTAAACATTTTAAGTGGGGTAGAAGTGTTTTATGGGACATGTAAAAACTTAAGACGAAAGCGTTCTGGGAAAGAGAGGGAGTACTTATATAGTTATATTCTTCCACTTAAAAAATATGTATATACTCTTATGCGTATTTGTTTTTTGCGAATACGAGTCATTATTGTCCTATACGAATATCAAATCAAAATTATTGACATAATTTGCAACCCTGGATAATAGATTATTCGCTTGATGTATGTTTAATAGAATTTAGGATGAGGTGTAGATAACGTACTGGATTGACAATAAAACACTTAGGCTGAATCGCATTAAAAGAATGAATTCTATCGATTTGTTAAAATCAAGAGCTTATATACCGATTATTTTACTCTTGAACTTTCGATATGGGATGCACTGTAACAATGTTGAAGTTCACATTTAATTAATATGATATGGTTGAAATGATGCAGTGGAGGCACACCTTCAACCACCAGCAACTCCCCAGCAGTCATCACAACCACCGGAGATTCATTGGGAGGCGGCGTCAACAGCGGCGGCATCAGCCAGCCGGACATGAACAACGGCGGTGGCGGCCGGAGTTCACTGCTGCAGAGGAATTCCCTTCTTGTCCCCTCCATCACCATGCTCTTGATCTCATCTGCAGCTTTATGGAGGGCTTCTTGATCATTATTTAATTATGAAATTAAATAATCTAATCTGTTCCCTTGGTTCTGCCAAATGATGCTGATTTTAAGCTGTATATTATTGTTGAACAACCCATTTGGTTATCATCATCATCATTATTATTAATATGAAGAGAACTAGTGTTTTGTTACATTTGTTCAATCTTACCTGCTACATTTATACAAGCTACCTTTCGGTTATGCTCGGTTATGTTCTCTTCATCTAATCTTTCCTAGCTTATTTTTTGAACTTTTTTTTTACTCTTTTTTAATTCATGTGTCTAGGTCGTTACTTGTATCATAGAGCCTTGGATGTAATTCTTAAATATGTATGGTGTAAACTTTGTTGGGAAAATTATGCTAAATAAGACTTCAACACTTCAGTCTTTCTCCAAGTATTACTACAAAGCTGAATGGGGATTAATCGTTCTTTAGTTTGCCGGTTTCAATATATTCTCAACGACTGAATCTGTAATCAAAGTCTAACTTGTTTTCTCTCAATAATCGTCCGGTCGGATTTGAAGAGTCACTGGGGGGCTCATGCTTTTTTATCCTCAAAGGTGAACTGGTGGGTGGTGCAAACAAAAAGGGTTTTGCTATAGAGATATTTGCATTAAATAACACTAAAACTTAAGTCATTTTTCTAAATAGTACTTAAATTGTTTTATTTCCTAAATAACACTTAATAATGTCTATAATGTCCAGTGGTGACGAATATTTACTTGAATAATGACCAATACATAATAACTAAAAGTGCTACATTGGGGAAAAAAATCATTGCAGTGTTATTTAGAGAAAGTCATTATGTTTTAGTGTTATTTAAGTAAATTTCTCTTTGCTACATTACCCCCTCTTTTAACCAAAGTTTTCCTTATTTCGCTTTTACGTGTAAAATTTATCTTTTTAAAAACAATTTTATTTGCATATTTTAAAATAATTTAAAAAATTCTATCCCTTTGTCAGAATTTATATCTCATGTTTCAGTTTATGAAGTTTAACAAGAATTATTCTCAAATCATTTTATATGAAAAATGGTGTGGAATTAAAAAATAAAAATATCCTATTTATATACTAAATCAAAAGACCTAAAAGACTAGTGATGAGCTGATGATATTACTATTTTATTATATCAAATGACTAACGAAAATAGAAAAAGAACGTGAATGAAGTTTGATCTTGTAAATAATGAACATGTAGTTTAATTTGGGACGAAGGGAAGTACAAAATAAGTTGTTCCTATTGAATAATTGGCACATTAAATTAGTCAGAGGAGTTTCAAATAGTATAGTAAAAGATATATATTCATCTCAATATTTACCGAAACTGAAATCAAATTATCTCGAACCATACTGAATCGATACTTCGGGATCGGAATCGGTACTATATAAAATCTCATACCAAGTCGAAACATTTTGTACAATATCAGTATAAACCAAATACTATACCATAGTGTATGTATGATGCTTATTCCTGACATTTATGGGGAATTAAAACAACCAATGCAATACTTAACTTTACCCTCCAAGTAATAGAGCTGATTTACTCAAAAAGGAAAACAATGGAGGGAATTCAAAACGCCACAAATCCTCCGTACTCCCTAATGCACGCAAATACCCCTGTCCATATGTCACCATCAAAGACCTCTGTCCCATGGTTAATTGACGCCGGTTGAGCTTTTGTGCACCAGGCGCCAAAACTCATCCAGCCGTCCACGTGTCGCCATCTGCCAAGCCACAGCGAGTCACTCCGTTACCCCGCCTCTCTATTCCTCGTCCAACCCCACGTCCCCACCACCTGGCTCCAAGAAAAATACAGTCAAGAAGAATTTGCAGGCCCAGCACAAGTTCCTCATGGTAAAAAACAACCCTTTACTCCTTTGTTTTTTTCTCGCTAAAAATTTCGTTATTTTCTTGGTTACTTTGTGCCCAAGAACCAAGATTTCTGCTTCTTGGTTTCGTGTCTAGTGTTGTTTCTACTGGGTAGTTGTTTGTTTTCTTCGCGTTTTGATTATAATCTTTGAAAACTGGGTTTTAATTTTTACCAGATTTGATAAAGTTGAAGTTTGGGTTGAAATGCCTGTGCAAAGGTTGAGCTTTTGGGGGCATTTAGCTTGCTAAGTTAGAAACATACAAAATGGTCATGCTTTTGGGAAGTGGCCTTCAATTCATTTTGTTTTCCTTCAATAAATAAGAAATACTAAAAAATTACTGGCTGGATAATCTCTGTTGTTAATGTGCTTCTTTTTCTGTGATTTTTTTTGAATTAATTTTTTTGTTTGTTAGAAACACAAACAAAAGTTCATGCATGCAGAGAATAGTAAAGCCTGTTTAAGTTGGTGATTTAACAATTTACTGTATCTAAGAGTTCAAGTATAGCCACCCAACCTATAAAGATAAGGACAAATTATTGTCCCTACCATTTTTCTTCTGTGACCTTTGAGTGGTTTCTTCCTGCTTATATAGAGTTGAATCTCAGGGGTCGTTAGAATTGCATTAGACCATCCAGCTGCTGAAATGTCTTGCAATGGTCATATTGGATTGCTGAACATCAAGAGAACATTAATTGCTGAATTTGCATAATTGCTCTTATCCCTCTTAAAATGTTGCATAATACTTCTTAGATACAACAACAACAACAACAACAACCCAGTTAAATCCCACAAGAGTAGGGTCTGGGGAGGGTGTGTGTACGCAAACCTTGCCCCTACTTGAAAGTAGAGAGGCTGTTTCCAAAGAGACCCCCGGCTCAACATCGAAAGTTGCATTGCTTGACTAACTGCTACTTCATTAATTAAAGAAGCGCAGATAGTTTAGAGATCCATTTTGATTTATTCCATCACAATACATTGTGTTTATGTTCATTCATGTTTCCCTTAAACCAGTTAATTAAACGTCGATTATTTGACAGAGTGAGGTGAGGAATGCTTAATTATCTATTTTAACTGCATGAGGGGAGTTTAAGAGAGCTAATTCTTAATATCCTTGTGTAATGGCAGAACCTAAAAGAATCATGAAATAAAAAAAAAGGAACAACTTTTGTACTGATGGAAAGAATTAATGATTTTGCCCATATCTGGAAATTTGCAGGTGGAATGTTGTGATACCTGTGGTGATATTGGGATTAAAGAAACAATCATTACTTGTGCTAAGTGCAAAGTTAGCCAAGAACATATGTAAGATCCCTTCCTATGTCTGTTTAGCTCCCATTGCTCTCTAATCTTGCTTTAAGTGATCATTATCTTTGATACATTCTCATAAATCATAATGCCCAGAGGTTGTATTTTGTGATCAGGTCATGATAAGTATTCAATTTTTATGTTCTTACTTAGTCTGTGTCTACTTTAGTCTTCAGAACTTCTATTATGACCAGTTGACAATCAAACCTGAACCTGTGTCAAATGTTCCCCCATTGGCAATTGTCTACATTCTGATTTCCAATGGAAAAGAACTTTCTTTTTCTTCAACCTGAAACGCTTCTTGTGCAATTTGATGCTCTTACTAAGCATTGGAAAACTCTGCCCATCGCAGCTATTGCACCCGAGAGTATTGTGAGGGCCCCACAGACGACTGGCAATGTGAGGAATGCAGCCACAGGAATGAGGACAGGTTATTGTTTAGGAAAACTCTGAGTAGTTCTGAGGCACCAAAGCTGATAACCAAGAACTCGCAGTCCAGAAAGCTGCAACAAGGTCGTGTTAACTGGGAAAAGAAAGTTCTCAAGGGGAGAACAAAGTATCTTTCTGTTGAAGAAGTGCTAAAGTTACCGGAACAACAAACTGTTGTTTCCAGTGTAAAAGAATCTCTTCACTTAACTCCACTATCACATAGGAAACGCAAACCAACCCCACTATCACCTAAGAAACAAAAACCAACTCCTATGTCACCTAAGAAACCCATTCCCACTCCATTGCCAAGGAAAACTGTCAATCCCAGGGATACATTGGCTCCTAATTGTCAGCCACCAAAGAAGATTCATAAGGTGCCAAAAGGTAATTCTTTGCATGCCATTTGGTACTTGCTTCTTAGCCTTCATCAGTTGCTAAAAGTTGTCTGATTTACCATTTATCTGATCATTCAGAATTTTGACTTGTTTCAGGTCCAAATGTCAAGAAATGTTCGAATGACCCACTCATTCATCCCTCCTGGAAGTAAGTGCAGTTTTGCTGGTTTTCAATGTTGGTGCATGACATGAAATTTGTATTATTGATAAATAATTATTAACACTATAAGCTCATGCATTTTGCGATATTTGATATTGGAAAATAAACATGCACAACATAGAGCATAACTAGCATCGTGAATCATGATGATGGTGAATATTTATATCTGCTTTAACGAGTACTCTGTATTTATATTATTAGAAAACAATGTGAATTCGGAACCTATGTTTCTGTTATGAAGTCAACTTTTTCGGGGTAAAAACAATTACTAAAATATTGTATGCTTGATAATATGTTTGATAGTTTCATTTTTCCCCTTCTATGTCAATGCATTTTCTAGAGGGAGCTTCAGCATTTGTGATAGTCTAAACTTTCACGGATTCCAAGCTCATCACTCATCAAAAGCATGCCAAAAGGTTGTTGAGTTTACAAAGCTGTTGCCCGACATTCTTGATTTCAAAGTAGTTCCAAGAGGGAGTGTTTGGGCCAAGTTATTCCATGACCACTGCCCTACGAAAGACGATGTAGGACTCTATGTATTTCCCACTGACATGGAAAGGTCAGCTCTATGAATCAATTTGGTCACTAATTACATGTTTTATTTGTGCATCTATTATATGATACTCCAGCCCCTTTAGCTTCATGTTTACAGCTCCAAAGAATATATGACCCTTTTAGAGTTGATACGAGGCAAAGACGTGGTGATGATCAAGCAGCTTGGAAATGTAGAAATGCTTGTCTTTGCATCCACGGTTCTGCAACTAGACTGTCAGAGTATGCTTTGTGTTCTGCTGTGTTTTTTTCCCCATTCAACAACGTATTTCTTTAACTTTTCGTTTGTAACGCATAAAATGGAATTGAAGTAAAGAAAATATCCCAAGAAAACAAGTTTTTTTTAATCAAGAAACATATGTATAGTTGGTTTTACTTTGGAAAATGTAGTTTGATAGATAAAAATTAGGATTTTACATTATCTGCTAATTCTTGGTAATGTTCAAGAACTTGTTGAGTTGAGCCAATACAATGACTTTTCCCAAGTTTCTTCATCTGTTCCCCTCTATTTCTTCCTTTAGCATTCTTGAGTTCCAAATGGAGCTCAAATGAATGGTCTGTTCGATTTCGACTTCCAACATTCTTGGATTCTTTATTTGCAGAGGTGAGAGGGAGACACTTCCTCTGGGCATTGTTTCATCCCGTGGGCAAAACGGATTCACAGCTTGAAATGACAGAAAGGGAAGGAGCAATAGTAGAAGTGTATGACAATGTGGAGGCTGTTGACATGGAGATAGACATGATGGGAGGGCAAAACTTGGGCAATGCAGATGTGGTGGTTCCCCATAGCCACTCTAGAGACAATCATCATTCCCTTTTGGCCCTCCCCAACATTGAAAGGAAAGTGTTTCCAGAAGTTCTTCCGGGTTCCAAACCAAAGTGTGGTGGTCCTCCCGCTTCCAAGACGACCCTACTCCCTGTCAAAATAGAGCCGTGCGAGGACGTGCCCCCTGGCTTTAAGCCGCGAAGGGTACCACTACCAGCTGGAATGCATTTTGTCTCTGAGAGGGGAATAGGGATTGATGGTTAAAAGATGAGTGACATTTTACATGGTAAGGTAGGCAAAAGCTTGTATCTACAACATCCTTTTAGTGCCTTTGATACTTCAGAAGTAGCTTTAACACGCATGCCTCCTAATTAAGTTCACATTTCCATGTTAGGTAAAATTTGAAGTAAAAAAGAGAACTAAGTTTGGTCTTCACTTTTGAACATAGGAAGTATATATTACAAAGTTAGTGCTTTATTTTGAATGAACGTGGACAAGCTTTACGTCTACATTAACTTGATTCTGAATGTATCCACAAAGTTATAATCGACCGTTATTTACGAACGGATGGAGTAAGTTCTTTATGGTTATTGAGCATATATATATATATACATACATACATATACATATATATATATATATATATATATATATATATATATATATATATATATATATAATATCAATGCAGCGACCATGTATGGTTAACTAGCAGATAAGTAGTTGTATGTTACTAATATGTGTGTACATATAAATTGTACATTTATACTCTCTCCATCTTGATTTCTATTTCAATTTACGAGATTACATTGAAACTATTAACAATTTAATTTATTTGATTTTTATCCAATTTAATTTACTTGATCAGAATTGTAAAATTTAAAAATAATTTGTACATTTAAAAACTACTACGAAGTACAACACAAGAGCTATGATTATATCATCTTATTAAATGATGAGTAAAAATAAATGAACAAAATGTATTTTTTCCGTTCCTAAAAGATTGTCACAATTTGATTTTTTATCAAAGTATGACACTCTTTGATCGTGAATTCAATATAATTTAAAATAATTAAATATTATAAAAATTTGATATTTCAAAACTATATTTTAAACTAAATTAATTTTACTTAATTTACATTAAAACTAGATATGTTTTTCCATAATTCAGGAGAAAAACATTTTTGTATTGTAGTGTTTAAAATTGATAAACTAAAATAAAAATAACGACGATTACATACGTAGTAACTGTTGTGTAATAAATACTAATTTTGACCCGTGCGACGCACGGGGTCGAACAAAATTTTTGTCGATTCCAATTTTTTTCAATGTAATATATTTTCCGGAATCAAATAAAATATATTTCTAACATGATTTTTAATCAATGAACAACAACGACAAAGTAGAATAAATAATATTTAAGGAATTGAAAGTGTATTCAAAAAAATCTTTTTTAATTCCAAATTTTTTCAAAGATTTTAGGGTACACAACATTTTTGGTATGGTTGTAAGGATTTCCATTATCATCTGGAACCAATATTTTTAATTATGTCTTTGCCTTCACTCGTGAAAAAGTAATAGAAAGCTAACCATGAGTAAATACTGAATTGGTTAAAAATAATACAACAAAAGACAATGTTTGACCTTGACTTTTGTTAATAGTCATAACAAAATATAAGAATATTAAGAATTGTCTTCTCTAGAATTTCAAGGGTAGTCCTGAATCAAATGATACCAAATTCACTCAGTGTATATAAATTCTTTTTCCAACTGATTTCTCAAAACGTCAATTGCAGTGATAATGTTCTTCATCAGCTTCTCAACGATTAATCTTATACCATTACAAAATCCAGATATTTGGTCAATGTTTTTCAATGACATAATCGGTACCCCCTTTTTAAAAACTATTTTATGGTTTGGGATCCCCGAACATTTGATTTTATTAAAAAAATTGAAGTGTTATCCAATTGTTAACTTTGCATGAAGAATCAGAACTTAAGTACTCCTTTTCACCTTCTAGAATAAGGGATATGACAAATTCATTTACCATTCAACAAACTTGAGTTGAGTGATAATATTGCACTATCCTTAGAAAAATAATTTTTCATGTTCTCTAGTAGGTTCGGATAAGTGAATTCCTTTGTTGTCTTGAGGGGATAACTTATGTCAAAAATCAAGAATTCATACGAGATTTCAACGCGAGCAGTTCCATTGATCACCTGTCTAAATTTTCTATCTTCGACTTTGATTATCCAATCAAAAAAATTTTGTGTGTCCCTATCTGTGCAAGAGAGTGTAGATTAATGCAATCTCATACTTTTTATCAACGTATAAATTTTACAATACAACCACATTTGTGAGGAATTGGTGGTAGCACCTACAATTTCCTCTCTCAAAGCTATGATTAAAACTGAAAAAATATGGATAAAATCACCTTTGAGTACAATGGTTTTTCCTCCGAATGGTTAATTTATGAAGTTATTATTAGAAATTCTAATTACATCTCTCTTTGTGCAATCCAATGTCTCAAAAGAAAATATATTCATCGTAGATGATAAATCCCGTATGATTATACTTGTTGTCTTGGGTCTGCTTTCGGGCTCCCTTGTTTGATGGCACACAATGAGCACTTAGTTGGCACCAAAAGAATTAAAAACCTCAAGTCTCCTTCCCCTAGGCAAAACCAATGCTACAATGTAGTTGGATGCGACATTCAGGGCAACATTACTGTTTGACCTCAGAAAAGCAGATAATGATTTCTGGAGAAATAGTTTTCCAGTTTCACCATAACCATGCACAAAAAAGAACTCTCTCTTTCAGTTATCACGATTTCCATTATTTTATTAGATATATTTCACTGATATTCATTCATCATAGATAAATATCCACTAAGATCAAATGATAACTTTTCATTGACATAGTTTAACTCATCTACCAATAAATTATTTTGATATCTATTAAGTTGATTGTCATCTCCAAATGGCAACTGAATTCCTTCAAAGACTGTCCATTCCAAATAAGCAGCTCTTTAATCTCAATTAGACATAAATTCTTTAGGTCTTCTCGTGAGATTATAAGCTCTACAAAAAAAGGATTTATTTGTTTCTATGCAGTACTCAATTAAAGAGTTTTGTTTTCATATAATGCATTTCAGATAAATTGATAGGTTTAAAAACTTTCTTTATATTTGTAGAAATATAATTAGAACTGAACTTGAATGATTTGATTACACATAAATCCGCTATTTATAATAGCTACAAGACTATGACCTAATTACGAGCCCAACAAGAATGAGCCCGTTAACGACAAACCCTACTACATTCCTTAACACTCCCCTCAAGTTGAGCATGAGATTAAGGAATGCACAACTTGGACAATTAAAACAAGACTAAGACTAAAAACAACTTGATAAATAACTTGAACTTGATCTGCTGTGACAACAACGAACGAAGGTGACCAGCCCTGCAAACGAACAATAAATTTTGATGACGAATGACTCCCACGCGGTGACACGGGGACAACTAACAAGCATCCCAAACTTGGAAGCCATGCTGCCGGACTGAGGCACGACTATGCGACCAACCTCACAAACAAATATGTCGAACTGAGGCGCGACTATGCGACCAACCTCACAAACATGTCGAACATACAAATGGTTGCACTTGAACATACCAAATAAAAACCAAAAACAAAGTCGCCAATAACGTCAATCAAAACTGGCACTGATTGAAAACCTTCTTTGTGATGTTGGAGCACAGAATAAACAAATTCAAATAATCACTTTGGTAGACTAACAGTACGTGGCATGCCGATCAAAGATAGAATTGAGCAACAACAATAATTTGGGACTTTGGTGCCGACGAAACCTACCAAAAGCACTGACGGGGAAGACATCTTCAACGGCGGCCAAACTTTGACTCTAGTCTAGGCAAATCTGAATTTAATAGCAGAACAAATACTCGAGACAATTTTTTTTGAAAACCTCGAGACAGATTTTGGTTGAGAGATTAGATATGTCACCGTCGCCGGACAAACCACCGGTGACAGCGACAACGGAAGCAACAGATTAGAGCAGAATAGGGTTTAGGTTCCCAGGTTGGCTCCGATATCATGTAGAAATATAATTAGAACTGAACTTGAATGATTTGATTACACATAAATCCGCTATTTATAATAGCTACAAGACTATGACCTAATTACGAGCCCAACAAGAATGAGCCCGTTAACGACAAACCCTACTACATTCCTTAACAATATTCAAGTACCTTGATTCCACAATATTCACGTTTTATCAAATAAAATTTCATTCACATGGAGTTCATATTGTTTTTTATAAACAATTTGTGGATGACTCATGATACTTGGATGAAAAACATTCTTAGCATATTCTCAAATCCTAACTTAGAAACCTCTTTTATATCTTCAATAAGCTATTTATCATCGGTTAATAACCTCAACGCTTCACATGCTTCTATGAATGCGTTATGTAGAGCATTGGTAACTCTTATCAAGCTCTTATAACTTATACATCATTGCTGGATAGTTAATAGTATTCTCAAGTAGTATAACTCTCTGGTTTCTGGACGCACATATTGTAGCCTACATATTGACGATCTTTGTTGCATCAGACCATTTCCGCACTTTGTGGTTGTACACAAAAAGATCTGGAAATTTTGGAAATTCTTTGCATGCGTCAAATTTTATCTCGCGTCATACTGTGTATTGAAAATCATCCAAGCTTCAAACATTGAAGCTTTGTCATATTTTTTCGACAACATCTTTTAGCTTTTGTTGATCTCTAAAGGTTGCAAATTTTAGCCATGGGAGATGGAAATTCAACCTCGAGTGTGTCCACCATATTAATTTACATAGTACATAATAATTTATACACATAGTTAGTTAATACACAAAGATAATTGTTTTATTACCATGCTCAAAGAAATTAGAAACATGTGTTATAGAAGATAGGTCAATTCTCTTCTGTCTCTTATGCACTTGAAAGCGCGATGAATTGTGTAATTATTCTCGAATTGGAGCATCGTATAGATTTTTTTGGGAAAAAATTACTGGAAAAATTAAATATTTAATTCAGAATAATAAAAATACCATTTGTCAAATCACAGAGCACATTCTTTCTTGAACGTGTTCGATGATGCGAGGCTATAGCCGATGACAACCTCTCTCCTTCTGTATCTGTAAAAACCATCATAAAATAAATATTGTAAATATTTTTATCTAAAAATTTTAAACTTAAAAAAGTTCTACTATCCACTAATATTTGTTACATTGCTGTTGACGGTCAAATGAATAAAAAAGCAAGAATATTACCTATTTATATTGTTTAGACATAAATGTCAAAATAGACATGTTTTTTATTTTCAAGAATTTGAATTAATAGTAATTACACTTATACAAATTAATATTGTAC